TTAGCTCAGGGCTGATCTTCCTCACAAAAAAAAAAAAAAAGATTTTGTCAAAAGATAATATTTATGTTCTTCTTTTATCTATTAACATCTTAATATTTATATATTTCCTAATATTAAATCATCCAAGAATTTCTAAAATGAATCCTACTCCATTTGTCATTATATTTTTAATATCCTGCTAGATTGATTTGTTAATGTTTTATTTAGTATTTTCACATGAATAGTCACAAGTGAGATTGGTCTGTAGTCCACTTTATGCTTTCTTTTAAGGTTTTGACATTAGTAAAAAGAAATGAGATTTCATTCTTTTTCTATGCTGTTAATTTGACTAGCATCAGAATCATCTTGAAAAATTTACTTATCAACTATTCAAAGCAGTGCTTTCTGGGAATATAGTACCAAATAATTTTCTCAATTTCTTCCAGGGTTGTTTTGGCCTTTTAGGTTTTTTTTTTTTTTTTTTTTTTTTTTGAGTCAATTTTGGTCATTTGTATTTGCATAGAAATTTATTTATTTCAACCAGCTTTTCTAACTTTTTAGCACAGAGTAATACAAAAATGTCCCTTGTAACTTTTAGTTCCACTTATATTTATGATTATTTCTCCTTTCTTATTCCTAATTTTCACTTTCTTCCTTTTTCTGTTTATTCAACTAGTTTATTTCTATTTTATTGTAGTTTTCCCTCATAGGACCATGAGCTGGAATTTAAAGGATGATTAAGAGTTTATCAGACAGAGAAAGAAAGGAAGGTATCTCCAGAAGAGTAAACAAGAAATTTGCAGCTGTAAAATAGCTTTGGTATACAGTGGGTGTATGTATTCACAGGGTGGCAAGAAGGTGTATCTGGTCCTTTGGGCTCCTGAAGAGAGAATCAGGGCTCTGCCTTCTACCAGCATCACAGGGAGGTAATGAGGGGGAGAAAGGAGGGTGGGGCTCGTTCCACGGCAAGATACTACTGGGTAGCCAGAAGAATGACAAATACCCACTACATGGAGTCATTGAAATCTTTTAAATGGAGAGTATGCCAAATTCAGATTTGTGTTGTTGAGGGTTTGTTTTTTCAATATTTTGAAGTAGGCAGCCTCCTCATTTTACAGATGAGGAAACCGAGGCCAGAGGACGACCTGAGACAAGCCCAAGGAAACAGAGATATCAAGAGTTGGAATGAGCATTCACCCAGGTTTTCTGGATTTAGGAAAATTTAGGAAATACTCTGGTGGAAAACATCCTTCCCTGAAAAGAGAGGATAATAACATCTGTGAAGATTAAATGATTCAATGCATGTAAAGTGCCTGACACGTAAAAGGCCCCTACAGTTATAGGATTGCTTTCTCCTTGTCCTCCATTTCATTTCTAAAAATTAAGTTTCTTTTATAGCTTACGTTTTTGCAATATACTGTTTCTACTGAAAAAACTTTTTAAATTAAAAGTAATATATCCATAAGGTAAAATAAATCAACAAAAGATTATACAATGAGAAAAAAAGCTTCTTACAGTTACCTTCCTCCCTACTCACAGTAACCACCCAACTAAAACTCATCATTTTTAATATTTTCCATTTAATCCTTCTGAAGGTTAGGGTTATAATTTTTAATTATACACCTTTATTTCTTGATATTTCAAAGAGTATCTAATCACCCTACCCCACGAGGAACAGAACATCCTACAGCACCTCTTGCTTGCCGATATTTGTTAGTAATATTTAATGTTTTAGTCCTTCTAGTGCTCATCTTCATAAATTTAAATGGAATGTTTAAATCTTTATTGTTTTATCAATTTTACATGATTTCTTACCCTCCTCTGAAAATTGAGGAAATCACACAGACTTCTTTCCTCCTCTCCTTTGACTCTAATTTACCTCATTTTTGTAAGATACTTTTTAAATTTTTACATTGTCAAGGTTTCTAACATTATTTGTTTTATAATGTTAAGTGATCCATGTTATGCCTATAGGTTTATTCTATAAATTGCAAACTAATATGGAAAACTAACAATATTACAATTATGTAAATATTTATAATTAAATCAAGCAGTATGATTATATCCAAAGAAAAAGAAATATAATCTTATGATATTAAATCTATGCTCCTTAGAAGAGAATGTTACAAGTGTCAAGGTCAAATGGACTTCTTTTTCATTTCTTTCCAGATGTCTTCCATCCTCCAGATCATATTCAATGGCTGCGGTTTCTTATATCTTACTGTCATAATATATTTTGTCTTCCTTTTTGGCCATGTAATACCTCCTTGAGTAATTTTCTTCATAAATGGGGAGAGGTGGTAAACTTCCTTGGATCTCTGTTCTTTATTTATTTACTTACTTACTTAGTTAGTTAGTTAATTAGTGAGGAAGATCAGCCCTGAGCTAACATCCATGCCAATCCTCCTCTTTTTGCTGAGGAAGACTGGCCCTGAACTAACAACCGTGCCCATCTTCCTCCACTTTATGTGGGACGCCGCCACAGCATAGCCTGCCCCTGACAAGTGGAGTGTCAGTGCACACCCGGGCTCCAAACCTGGGCCGCCAGCAGCGGAGCGCGTGCACTTAACCGCTATGCCATGGGGCCGGCCCCCTGTTCTCAATTTTATATACATGGTATCATAGTGTGTGTGCATATATATGTACATATATATGATTTTTTCTTTATATTATATATTATCTTTTTAAATATGTTATTTGATATGTACAAAAATATGTAACATGTATCTAAAAATATGAAGCATAACAATATAATTAACACCTATGAGCCCACTGCACAACTACAGAACTAGAACATAACCAAAAGTGTCCTCTACCTACGCATTCCTCCCCTACACCATCCTACGGACAAAGTAAGAAAGGTAAAGAAGAAACAACTTATGGAAAATAGAATTTTTTTAATGTAGCTTTTTGTTTTTGACATCTATGCTAATTACATTATGGCAGAGAATGTGGTCTTTATGGTACTGATTCCTTAGGATTTGCATTATTGGCTAATTTGTTGTTAGTACCGTCCAGTCCATTCCAGCTCCTAGTGACCCTGTGTACAGCAGAGGGGAACCCAGCCTGGTCTTTTTGCACTGTTGTCTCACCTTCTGGCACTATATCAGACAATGCTCTGCTGCTATGCACAGGGTTTTCATGGCCAATTTATAAACTACTAAAACGTTTAAATATATTTTTAAAACATCTACACAATTTTTTAAAATAAAAATGTCCTCATTTTATACACATAGTTCTGCAATTTTCTTTGTTTGACATAAGGGTATATTATGGACATCCCTTCATATTTATAGAACTAACTCATTCTTTTTCATAATATATAAAATATTCTATTGTATGGATGAATCAAAATGTATTCAACAATTTCTCTTTTGATGAAAGTACAGATGTTTTCTTTGTCTTGGTTTTTGTTCTATTTGACTTTTTGGATATGGCGATAATCTTTCTTAGCTAAGATTAAAAGATATAAATATAAAAAGTAAAACAATAAAAATATTGGAAGAAAATTAAAACGTCAGCCTGAGAGAAACTTTCTTAAACAATACAGGAAACACAGATGACTTAAAAGAAAAGATATGGGCCGGCCTGGTGGCGTAGTGGTTAGGTTTGCGGGTTTGGATCCTAGGTGCAGACCTACACACCGCTCATCAAGCCATGCTGTGGAGGCGTCCCACATACAAAATAGAGGAAGATTGGCATGGATGTTAGCTCAGGGACAATCTTCCTTACCAAAAAAAGAAAAAAAAAAAGAAAGAAAAGATAGATGTGTTATACTTAACTGCATACAAATGTAAACTTTCCTTACGGAAAAAAACAAAAAAAAAAAAATGGGAGGAAATATTTGTGGGAAAAAAAAAATGGCAGGTTAATATCTCTAACATAGAGAAAGCTCCTAAAAGTTGTTTTAAAAAAAAATGCAGAGAATATGAACAGGCAATTCATAGAAGAGGAAATACTAATGAACAACAAATGTATGAAGAGATCCTAACCCTCACTAGTCATGGAAATGCAAAATAAAACAACAGTGAGATCTAATTTTTCACCCATCAGATTGGCAAAAATATAAAAGATAAATAATATCCAGTGCTGGCAAGCACATGAAAAAAATGTACATTATCAAGTATTCCTGTTGAACATCTGAATCTGAACCACCTTTTTGGAGAGCAATCTGATAATATATAGCAGAAAAAAAATTTAATGTTCACATTCTTTGACCCAGCAATCCAACTTAACTTAGGAAAAAAAACTGAAAATATAGCCTTTAGTGCTGCCCTATGTCTCTTCCTTTCTTTCCTCCCTCTCTTCTCTCTACACCTCACTTGATTTACTACCTCACTTCCCAGCCAGCTGAACTCTCATGCCCTAGCCCTCCTCCATCAGACTCTAGCCAACCGAAGCTGGTGCCTGAAACAGGGAGACGGTCTTGGAGCCCTGGAAGGCCTTGACTAGGTGTCCCCGTGTGCTTTCAGGAAAGTGAGGCCAAGGACATCAGCAGAGCCAACATCTGCTTCGAGTTCCTGGAACTGCTGACAACGTGCAGGACACTGATGGCACCTGGCAGAGACTGCTGTGCCTTGGCCATTCTGCTGGCAATTGTGAACATCCAGCTTGGTGGTGAGGACAGCCCATCCCCAGATCCCCAGGGCAGAGACAGCCATCAGGGAAAATCTTGGACTCGTGAGGGTGGATGGATCCCGTGATTTTTTTTGTCTGGTGGGGAAGAAAAGGACCCACTCTTCCTGACACTAATGAAAGGGTGAAAAGTCTAGTTTTTCTTTTTTGTTAGAACTAATACTAATGCCCTCCCCATCTGACATCCTGCCTCTGCTATGTGTTGCAAAGAACCTGGTAATCTGGCTCTCCATCCAAGACTCTTTCAGGCTCTTACATACTATATGTTTATGAAGTCCAGGTTTGAGATCCAGATACTACACTGTTTGTCAACTCTGGCAACCCATTTAACCTTCTGTGCCTCAGTTTGTTAATCTGTAAAATTGAGACAAGAATACCTGTCTCTAGGGCTATATCTTGGATTAGATGTATACAAAAGCACTTTAATAAAGGCCCTATAGAAGCTCCAGTTGGAGAGTAGAAATAAAATAGAAACCATTTCTGAATTAATGAATAGCTGGGATTGCAGGTCTCCCTCAGATATGGGTATAGCCTGTATACTACTCTTCTAAAAGGGTGGTATTTAATGTCTATGGGGCAGCCCCCATCTCTGCCTCAACATTTATGTGTAATTTACCATGTATACCGGGCCTCCCATGGCTAATTCTTCCCTTCCCCTTCCAGCATGCATGCACATCCTCACCTCAACTTCCCAAGAAGAAAAGCGACTAAGCTTAATCTGTACTGTGTGGTACAAGACAGAAGAGGCTGAGGGGGTAATAGTGTTTTTGTGCAAGGACAGGAATGCGGACTGTACCCCTGAGACCAGCTTGGAGCAACTGAGACTTAAACGGTATTCTGGGACAGATGGTGTCAGTGAAAGATCATCTCAGTTGGTGTTCACCATAGACCAGGCTACGCCATCGGACAGCGGGACCTACCAGTGTTGTGCCAGAAGCCAGAAGTCAGATACCCGCCTTCAGGGCCATTTTTTCTCCGTTTTAGTCACAGGTGAGCCCCTGATATCCCTAATGCCACCAGGTGGAACAATAAGCACGGTCAACAGCTGGAGACCGTAGTTATTTCAGGTCCTGGACAGGCAGTCTCCGCGGGAAGAGTCCCTCCCATTACTCAATCCTTTTCCTTCACTTCCACTGGCAAATCCTGTCTTTCCTCAAAACATGTATACAAAGGTAATCTCATTTTGTCTTTAATTTAAAAAATCTTACTGATGTAGCCATCTCATTTTTATTGACACTGAGACTGAGTCACAAGGAGGTAAAGCAACTTGTCCAATGCCACTCACTGACCAGTGCCAGTAAAAGCAGATAGAGGTCTGGAATTTAGGCCTCCTGATTCCCAATTCAGAGCGCTCTCAGAGATAGAGCTGTATTTCTAAATGCAGATACCGAGCCTTCAGGCTTGGACAGAGAGATGGATTTGAGATAAAATGAATGGTTGTCTTAGAGAGCATTTAGTTGTAAGAAACAGAAATCCACTCAAGCTGCCATAGATTAAAGGGGAAAAAATAATAAAGCAAGAAGTATAGCTGGCCCTCATGAGTTCTAGTTTCTGGAATCAGAAACCAGAAAGCCAACAGAACCCAAAACAGTTACTGTCTTAGTCTCTCTGGGGCAGCAAGGCTTCGAATCTCTGCATATCTCCTTCATTTTGTGCACGCTCCCCGGCTGTTACTACTTTGGCACAGCCTAAAATGGCCACTCCACTCTCAGCTTTATATATATGACTTCCTCATATGCCCATCAGAGAGTGACTTGCTGTGTTTCTATATTCCCAGACAACAGAGCAAGTCTTCAAAACTGAAAATTATGTTCTGCCTAGAATTCTATACCCAACCAACCAACCAATCAAATGTGAGGAAAAAACAGACACTGTCAGATAGGCAATGACTCAAAAAAAATTCGTATTCCACGCTCTTTCTTAAGAAGCTACCAAACGTGCTTCAGTAAAACAAGAAAGTGAATCAGTAGGGTATATAAAATGGGATCCAAGAAATAAGGAGTCTAATAGAGGAAAGAGGATAAGGATTTTAACTTAGGCTAAACTGCTTGACCCACTCCAAAAGATGGTTTTTAAATGAGATTTGCGAACACCTAGTCCAAGGTGACTAAGCTATTTTTGCTGTCTCTCTGGCAAGACTTTATTCGAGTTCCTTCAAGGTAGGAACTTATTTGTATCCCAAGTGTGACACACAGCAGATTTTAGTGTATTTATTGCTGCTTCAGTACAACATCATCATCCCCCACAAATGTTAAAAAATGCACACTTGGGCAATGAATTATGCTGAGAGTATGCTTGGAGATCATAAAAAGATGTTCTGAGATGATGCAAAGAGGTATTAATGATCTCTGAAACCCTCCCCTGATCCACTGATTCTCTTTTGAACCAGAGACAGGGAACTACACAGTGACAGGACTGAAACAAAAAGGACGCTCTGAGTTCAGCCCTAGTAAAGATACTCTCAATTCAGGCTTCCGGCAAGAAAACGTCTGGGTGATGCTGGTCACCAGCCTGCTGGCCCTTCAAGGTATGTTCAGAAGAGCCTTAAGCACCCCAAGCAATGAGGTGCTATTCCTTTGACATCTTGGTTATTCTCCAGGAGAAGGGTGGAAAGGAAGCCCAGAGTGGGAGAGGAAAACACTCCTCAAGCCCTGGCTGTCCATAGGAAAACATCAAACCAACACGAGGGCAAAAGTGGCCCAAAGGGACTAAAGATTTCATACTAACTAAGGGAAGATGGATGAATCAGATGTCCCACTGGGTAGGCGGTCAGATCTATCAAGGAGGCCTGCAGGAGAGGCAAGTAAATACAGCTGCCTCTACTCAATGGATGAACAGAGGGCTACAAGTTGAGGCAATAGATGTTTGGTTATTATGTGAAGATGAACAAGGCAAGAGACAGACTTGGTCTGGAGGTGGATTTTGAACAATGCAGCTCTTTGTTCAAAGGCTGATGGCCAAAGTGAGTATATTAAATGCTTGTAGCTCAGTCCTCTGAGCATCATTTATCAATATGGATCAGGGTTTTCCCTACTAGATAACAAAGAGATTGGAACTTGCAATGATTTGTCATTACGTTTTTGCATAATCAGTAACTGATGCAGGTTTTTGCTTATCCTTGGCATTCTTAATTCCATTTCATTTAGGCTTCCCTCAAATCAATAACTACCACTGTTTGAGTGCCACCAAAATGTAAGCTCTTTAAATTTAAATGCTGGGACTTGGTCTTGTTTACCCCAACAAAAAGATAGTACTAGGCACATAGCAGGCTCTTAACAAATTTGTTTAAAGAATTTGTATGATGGGTTAGGCTTTACATGTGGTGGCTCGAACCTCATACAACCCTTCCAGGTTCTCTGATTACTAATCAGGAAACAGGCACAAAGAGGTTAAATGTTGCCCAGTTCACAGGAATTAATACAGGTCCTTTTCCCTCTAAAACCTTGTGCTCTCAGTAATTACCTATTACATGCTAAGCACCTTCTCTCTCAGCTCCTTCACCAGCCTTCTCCATTCTGAGATTGCCTCATTTCCAGAAATGGGACCACCTAATACTCCCTTATTCCAGGCCCTTAACTGCAAAGTATCAAAAGAAAACAGAGACTTATCTGTGATCCTTGACAAGGACCTGCCAAATGTAAGGCAGCTTTCAGGAGGAAACTGATGAATATCAAGCAGCACGACCTTGTAGATGTAATTTTTTATTGAATCTAAATTCCCTCAGATAATTAGGCTATTCTGTTAGTGAAATAAATTTTATTTCTTCATACAGAATAAAAACTCAGAAGAGGAAATTGAGTCTAGCCATACAATCTACTACCATTTACTTCCTTTGACTCCCAAGTTACACTAGAGCAAAACACCTCTAAGCTCTTTTCCCCTTTCCAGTCAGGTGAAGAGAAGAAAGAACTTAATAGACCATTCCTTTTCTTTATCCTCCTCCCCCAACTCAAGGCTTAGCAGAATTATGGAAGAGATAATGTTCAGTAGAACAAAAGTACACATGTTTTCTCAGGCCTAGAGGGATCACGTAGATCAGGTTATCATGCTTTCATGTGACAAAAAGGAGAGAGTTCCCTGGATCTCTGTGCCTCTCTCAGCTCATGAAGCTAGTATTTCAGTGAGTATCCCTGTCCTATCACTGTGCCAACCATTCAGTGCCACACATGGAAAACCTATCTTGAACTTTTTGAGTAGCACCTATTTCTTCTCTAACTGTCCCACCTTCCAGCAAGGAGAGACCAAAGGTTGGCTCTCTCCCCACTTCCACCAAGATCAGTTAGATTTGCTCTAAAGATCACAACTGCAACTTGAGCAATAAGACACAACACATGGAATGTGTTCCTTCTTTCCTTTTCCATTCCCTCTCTAGTCTAAGGGCCTATCAAACACACATCCCAGGGTGAATTACATCAGGTATTTTGTTGCTATTTTCAGTTGTGTGGCACTAATACAAACTTTCCTTTTTCTTTCTACAGCTCTTTAAGCCTTATGCCAGAAGAAACATTTAAAAAAAAGTTATAGCAAGATAAATCTGATTCTCTTTAGTTTGGTATCTTTCATATTACAATCTGTATAGGGAAGAAAAAAACAGGGAAGAAAAAAACAGGGCACAGGGAAAGAGATGCTAATATGCCAAGAATCTGGAGAATATAAGGCGGGGCAAATGAGTGTATTCCTTGACCTCCCCTCCTCATTGCCAGAGCAAACCTGCCTTTCTTCCCAACCCAGTCACCAGTAAATAAAAAGAACAGCTTTCACAAAAGTGGCTGGTGTACAGTTCTCACTCAAATATTGGATAAGTATGTGTGTTTTTGTATCCCAGAAGAACTTTTCCTCCCTCCCTTCCAACATAGTAAAATAAACAAGCAAGTTAAATGAAATAAGAACACAATTTTTTTGGAAGAAATTTTTATTTAACACTGTAAAGGGAAGAGAGGGGTAGGAGAGGAGAGGAAGAGAGCCAGACCCAGTGACTGACTTGGCATGAAAATAAGGAAAGGAAGAGAGACCTTCGTGTTCAACAGCATCCACACAGCACTGCTGGAAGAAGAGGAAGATTTGTGCAGACTGGGTGCACCACAGATCATAACTGTCTAGCTTCAACTAAGTACTTGTCAACCTCTTTGGTCATTTCTCTTTTTTTTTAAATAAATGTCAAACGCAATATTTTCAGCCTAGTCTTTTCTCCTAAATTCACAAATCCTCTTTTTCTTTGAACAGTCAACCTCTTGTGATAGTTAAGCAGAGAGGAGGGGGCAGGATATTCCTAATAGGAAGAACTACATAAATAAAGAAGTAGGAACACAGATAATTTAACTGGAGCTAAATGGCAAACCATCAGAAGGAAATGGACACCTTACCTGTGATCCTTGGCCAGGACCTGCCAATTGTGGGAGCTAAGGTTTGTGGGAACAGAGAGAGAAGGCTGAAAGAGATGGGTAAGACCCTTATTAGTGATGGTCTTGAACCACAAACTCAAAGAATTTTGGATTTTGTGTCTTATGGAGGTAAAACGACTAGGCATGGAGTTAAAAGACTTGGATTCAAATTCTGGCTCTGCAATGTACCAGCTACACGTCATTGGGCAAATGAAGTTTTAAGATGCTATTTCTGTTTACTTATCTGTAAAATGTGATATTGCCTACTTTATCTTCTGTTTTCACAGGATTGTTCTGAGGATCAAATGAGATTCTGGATTTTAAACCCAGAGCCATTTGAATTCTGGCTACAGAGTCTCCACGGCTTTCTCCACTACATTATGTTCACTTGAATCCTTCTCTATTTTATGTACATTAGTTCTGTGTTTCTAACTAAATGTTAAGCTCAAATGGGTGGAGATGTCTTTTGCTTTTTACTATTCAAAGAATCTTCTGAAACTACTCAACATCATAATCACTGGAAGTCTCACAAAGAAGCCATGTCCAAGTAAAGAAAAGGTTTCAACCATTGTGCTATACCAATTATAGTTCACACATAAAAATCTCCAGAAAGGACACACGATCACTGCCCAAATTAATCAAGACATTCAAGATCATCAGACTATTAGCTCTGACTTGAACTAAGCAGAATAAACAAAGCAAAAATAAGTCAAAGGTCCCACGTCTAAAGAATTTATTTTATTTATTCTGCTTATCTCAAGACATGGTTACACAAAAATTTGAAAAACTTATATTTTGGCTTTCAAAATGTATTGATACCATTGATTTCAAATAAGCCTATAAATTTCCATGCATGAATAGGCAGTTTTCTGGACATACAACTTAATCTCAATCTATATGCGTGATTCATAACCCATGGATTTTAAACCTCTATGAGGCCATGGAATTATTACAAGGAATCTGTATAAGCATTATCTTCGGTCTGAATAAATATCTTACAAATATGTATACACTGTATTTCAACTGGATACAGATTCTGGTGTGACTGATAAAGTCAAAATGATTTAAAAGCCATTACTGAAATCACAGCAGCTTTTTCTTATGTATCTTTTCATCAAAAGATACTAAAAATACAACTTTTATGTTATTGAGAGGGAGTCATAATTTTTGGACCTTAAAAATGGTACATCTTATTAGAAAAGGTAAAAAACCGCAAGCCTACATCCCATGATTCACAGATAAAAGTGTACTAGCCGAAAGAGGAAAGGCAACATATAGACTCCACTTCTGTGGATGCCATCAAACTGTAATTTGGCAAAACATAAGTTTATATGTCTAAGATCTTAGAGTTGAATACCTGTAATTCCACTTGTCTGGCAGGTGAGAGATCAAAACCTCATAATGTCCTTTGGATCAGACAAGGGCTCTATTTTTATCCTGGAAAATATCTCCACTTGTACACATTGTATTCTACACATTCTATTTTAAACCCTTGGAGCATCCCTGTGGTTCCCAGCCTGAGTGCTGAGACGCTGACATTACTGTAAGCTACAACTTCCCCTCACAGGAGAACCACTTATGATGTTTACCCCATCAGATCTTTCTCCCAACTCCCTGCATCAGAACTTATATGAGATTCATTTTGGAAACTCTCTCCGGCTAGACCCCTGTAACTCCCAAATCACCACTGGTTTATTCTTGTAAACAGCACTCTCATCTTCCCACCTCTCTACCACAGAGGCCAGAGAGGGTTTTCCCCTAACATCCAACTATCTATTCACCAGCCCTGCTCTTTCTCCTCCTAAAATCCATGTTCCTTCACAGATATCAGTTGCCTGCCTAGATCAGCTCTAACAACCTACTCTGAGGTGCCCTTCACCTCCCAAAACCCCAGAGGCTGTTTTGTTGTTGTTTAAAACAGGCATAGACTATGATCCCTCCTGATTAGTTTTTGTTAAGACTGATATATTTAATTAACATTCCTTGAGGAAATAGCACTTGGACACCAGGGAGAAAGAAACTGAAGCATGCAGAAGGTCGAGAGAGAAGTCATTTTTGTATCAATAATTTATCAAGAAAATTTAAAATAGGTAATTGTATTTGAGTTCAACTAACTATAATACAGAAGCAATGGATGATAAACACCCTTTCCTCCAAGCCACTTATTCTCAACCCTCAGAAATGACTAGGCTTTTACCTCCAGTGAATCTCCTTGCCACACGCCATGTGACAGGGTGTCTGCCCAAGCCAAGAGTGTCCCATAACAGAGAACTATGGAAACACAAGGGTCTGAAGTAAGTACAATGACAGAATCAGATTGAGGATCCAGCCCTGTGCTATACTTCAGTGCCCATCACATCCTTTCTTCCTCTAGTGTGAAATGTGTATATGTGTGTGTCTGTGAATATATACATATATATATACACATAAATACATATGTATGAATGTGCAGTACAAAAACATAAACAAGGAATTTTGCTCCTAATAACTATTTAATCAAAGTGAGACTTGCTTGAGAAAAAAACAAATTCTTCCCCCCAAATCTTCCTTCTAACTTGAGAACTAATTATTGGACCAGTGCTGCTCAAGGAAAACACTTAACAAGCACTTGGCTGAAATGTTATGCAGCAAATGTTGACATCTAAAATTTATAACAAACTAAGGAAGCTATTTAATTTATAACCATTTCCATATCCTCCACCTGGAGTAATTCCTTTTTCTTATAAATTAAAACATTATTGTAAGGAAAGAGTCAAGGGGCTACAGTAACAGGGACAAAATATCATTCTGGATTCTCCACGTTTCTCAACTCTTCAGAGAACTGGCAATAGGAACTTTGAGGGAAAATTAATTTTTAATGCCAGGATTATTCCTTCTCCCAGCTCCCAACTCATTAGCTTAGAAACTTTAAAGATGCTGGAGATAACAGCTAAATGTTCACCACTCTGCCCTTCCCACCCAACTGCCCAGTTCTGTCCAGCCAGAACTAACCCACAGGAAGATGAATTAGACTAATTCATCTGGAAACTACTCGAGAAGCAATAATCACTTGGAGGCCAGCAAGGAGTCGGCCTATATAATCTCTCTACTACCAATCTCTAGGAAGTCTCTCCTAATTATGTGCTAACAAAATAGTTTTCTTCCCTCTTATTTCAAATTATAATGGACAAGAGGAAGATAAAGAAGAAAAGACATTTATGAATAAGAAAATAATCTGTTCAGCTCCGCATGGAACACAAAGGGTAGGCCATGTAATATGAATGTAAAGGCCTCAAGTCTAAGGGCTCAAGATCTGAAATTGCAATAAAATCATTTCTCTTGTCTTCAACAATCAGGGAAAGCTGAATTATCTCTCCCTTGACTCCTATTAAGGCTCCAGAGTCCTGAGTCTGTAAGCCTTCCAGCTGTAAACAAATGAATACCTGAAAAGTCCCGGTTATGTAGCCCTCCACCTTGGGTACTATATCTAAACTATGTTTGAAACATTTAAGAGAAAGGCATTCCTAGAAATAAACTCTTAATCCCAGCCATGTTCTGGTGTTAAACCAATGAATCTGCAATGTTTCTTCCTAGAATAATAGGCATCTCCGACTTCCAGGTTAATTTAGATTGAAGGGGAAAAAAGATATGATGCACAAGGCAAACAAGTCCTCATCCCATATACATTTGTTCCACTGTTTAACCCTAGTACTGAGGTCTCCAAGCAAGGCAGACATTTCTCTAAGAGACACACTGTTCACCTGGCAAAACTTAAGTGGGATGAGAATCACTCTGCTATGTGCATCATTTCTTATTTTTCTTCCTTGTGATGATTAGTTTTATGTGTCAACTTGACTGGGCCATGGGATGCCCAGGTATTTGGTCAAACATTATTCTGGGTGTGTCTGTGAGGCTATTTTTGGATAAGATTAAAATCTGAATTGGTAGACTGAGCTGACCTCTCTAAACTGGCTGGGCCTCATCCAATCAGTTGAAGGTCTGAATACAACAAAAAAGCTGATACTACTACTAGCAAAAGGGAACTTCTCCTGTCTGACTGCATGAGTTAGGACATCAGTCCTTTCCTACCTTTGAACTCGAACTGAAACATCAGCTCTTCTTGAGTCTTGAGCCTTCTGGCTTTTGGACTGGAATTTACACCATCGGCTCTCCCAGTGCTCAGGCCTTTGGAATTGGACTGGAACTATACCACTGGCTCTCCTGGCTGGCTGACTGCAGGTCCTGGGAATTCTTAGCCCCCATAATGACATAAGCCAATTCGTTATAGTAAATCTCTTTATATGTATGTGCACACACACCCCCCCCATTGTTTCTGTTTCTCTAGAGAACCCTGACAAGTACACTCCTTAACCTCAATTAACCTGGAAGTCTGACATGCCTCCTATTCTAGGATGAAATACCAGAGATTCATTAAGTGGGAGGGGTCTGGGAAACAGAAATGAGCCTCATATCCTCTATCAGAGCAAAAAAAGTGAAGAAAATTTTGGATAACTTAGACTGATGCTATTTGCTGCTCTGTGTATCGAAAAGGTAAATCCCTATCCTTTGGGATACTTTGTTTCCCATCCTTTTGTGAGGCAAGCTACTAGATCCTTTCTAGTTCTCCAGTTGTAAGCAAAGATACAAGTGCCTGTCCTGGCATCTCCAGACACTAACAGACAGACAAAAATTTCCAGGCTGTTCATAATTTTTCTGAGACCGCTGATATTGTTCTACTTGAAAACTGCACTGTGCTCCAACTTCAGCATAGCCTTTCTCCATCTAACTAGTGGCCATCAAATATTCATAATATACCTCTCACCCACCACTCAGCCTTTTCACCCCCCATTTAAAACCAACGTGTATTTTTGGGGTACATTTCAATAGCCATAGTAAATAGCTCACATTCTCCAAAGAAACAATCTCTATAGAGGTATAACATGAGAGGCATACAAGAAAACATCTTTAACTCCCTCTGGGCCCAATGTGAATCACACCTTATGGTCACAACTTTTAGAGTTAGGCTATTAATTCAGCAAGCCACTCTCCCACTTTCCCACTTTCTCTCTTCCCTCTCCTACTCCTTTATCCACTACCGAAGTACAAAGATACTTCTAACCCTCTTCCCTCACCCCCAAAATCAGTGTACAATAGTCAACAAAAACTTAGGAAAGACTCCTAGCCAAGAAAGAGGCTCACCAAAGAGTAGCTTTCTTGTTCTAATCATTCCAAACTATGAAAGGCTGATGTGACCACACAAATGGTGTCTCTCTGTCACCCTTCTGAGTGCACCAACAGTGGTTACATGTCCCCATCATTTCCTTTTGAGACTCTGAAGTTCCAACGACATTTTTGATCTTCATTTATTCAACTTTAAACACGTATATGCTCCAAAGAGCATGTGCATGGGACACTGTTAAGCAGAAAAAATAAGGCCTACCTCTGCTAGGCCAATGTGTTTTGGGCATGATCAAAATAATCAGTTTGACTTCAAATATACTCAGAACTAAGCAGAACAGAAAGGTTTCAGAGATGATAAAAGGACTTAAAAAATTAAAATAAGACAATGTAAAATCTCAATTCCTGAAGACTAATGAATTACTTAAAACAGTGAATTGGCTGTAGAAACAGTAATGAAGTAATTCTATTTCTGTGAAGGACTTTATTATAAGGTCCCCAGGACAAAAGATAGTAAACAATGAGTTGGGGATCATCAAAAACCCTCAGAACCAAAGATTTCACACATCTGTCCTTCTGTGCCTGTATGCTGCCCAACTCATGCCCAAAAAGGAACCAGAATTGGATTCCTACTAACATAAAACTCCTAAGACATGTCATGCTGGTTACTGTGGAAACTGCATCTTGTAAAGTAGTCTTTAAAAATTAAAATAAAAAAAACAAATACTACAATAATAAGCCTCTTTCTCCTTCCAACTGTAATTTTTCTTTGATTTGCTCTCTGAGGATTCAAGACAAAACAAAATCATTACTCTCAGATTTCTGAATTAATCTGACCTTACTTCATGGCTAATGTGGCCAAGAGTAGATGCTTTTGTACAATTAAAACAGAAGGACTTTATATCAGCAGGACTTTAGGGCTCTGGTTCCACTGTATTTACTGTAAAATACACTAATGGTAGGGTCGAGGTTGGAGAAGGAGGTGGAAACATGAATTACAAGGTAACATGACAGATAGCAGGGCCCTAGCTAGACTTTAAGCAACTGATTCTATTCTGGTGGGGGGAAACCCACATAATTAAGTGTCATACTTTTAAAGTTATCACTCTGAATTCAGGAATAAGAGGCATTTTGTTGTAGATACAATTCCATCTGTAGATACTAACTTTAAATTTAGAGAAGAAAAACACTCATTGCATTAATATTACGGGTTGGGATTTCTTATGCGATTCCTAAATCCACCTACTAGCTTTTGTTTTGATACAATTTACAGCTGTGGTAAAAAGACTACCACAGCCCTGGCTCAGATGCAGTCCTTAGCTTCAGAAAGTCCATCGGTCATGTAGCTGGCTGTCACTGCTAAATCTGTTGCTTGCAGAGGCCTCAGAGCTCTGGGTTTGCCGAGTAGAGTCCTCACCATTTAAGCTCTTCCTACATACAGGACACGTGTCATGCTGAAACAGAAAGATATCAGTCCATGTAAACAGCCTGACCTGAGAAGCTGGAGGTACTAAATACTTAAGAAAACCTGAGAGTTGGCAGGTAGAAAAACAAAAAGGGCGTGCATTCTTACACAGGGCACACTGGGCTCCAAGGTGTAACACCAGGATATCTCCTAAATAGAACTTTAAAGAGAACTGACAGAGAGAGTTCTCGGCCAGCAACTTAACAATAGCAAACACATACCACCAAAGAGAACCAACCAGAATCAGTGACCTGAGATGGTCTAGAGCAGGAGTCAGCAAACTTTTTCTGTAAAGGGACAGCTAGTAAATATTTTAGGCTTTGCAGACCAGACCGCCTATGTCGCAACTACTCAATTCTGCTAATGTAGCACAAAAGTAGCCATAGACAATTTGTAAACAAATGAGCATACTTGTGTTCCAATAAAACTTCATTTACAAAAACAGGTGATAGGCCACAGTGTAGTTTGTTAACTCCTGGTCAGAGAAGTTCCAAATAGACAGTCATCTAAAAAACAGTAATGGTGCTACTAGGAGTTATCCAGGGACTAAAATCTGATCTGCTTGGCTCTCCATTAACTGTTCACTACACCCTTACTCTGAACCATCCCCCCACGAAGACGTGACTGACACAGATGCCCCATCACAGATGACAGCTGTCTGTACTCACCAGCTCTAACCACGGCACAATACAACTGCTGTGGAAGAAGTGGTTGCAGGGTAACTGCCGCACTTCCTCTTCAACTGTGTAATCTTCTTTGCATACTGGACACTCTAAACCCATATCTGTTGGAGCAAGAAATGCCTTTTAAAGTAAACAAACGAAAAGAAGGAAGAAAAACTTGCCAATGTCTCTAATAACCAAAGGACAGATGCATAAAGAAAAGACACAGAGCACATCCTAGGGGAGGCAGACAGGAAGCATGAAA